TCGCTTGTCAACTCCCAATAGTGAACCACTTTCACGAATTTTTTCTCGACATTACGCTCTCTCTCTCTCTCTCTCTCTCTTTCTCTTTCTGTCTCGCTTGGAGCATCTGCCTTTTGACCCCATGCGTACAGCGAGGCAATCAGCAAAGCAATAATAATAATTCTACGAGAATATTTGACCTGCATCATGTCAACCGTTTCCGTGGCCATTCTCGTGCACGGGCGAAACGAACGAACGAGTGAGTTTCGATGTTCATGGCTCCTCTGCTGCTGCTTTCAAATAGATTGTGTCTCGTGACATTGCTTGACTTATATCAGAAGTCTCCATCAACGTTGAAAATCTACTTACAATGATTAAATTTGGGTATTCCAAATTAGTATATTATAAGTGGTTGAAGGAGATCTCGGTACTCTGACTTATATCAGCAGTCTCCATCAAAGTTGAAGAACTACCTAAAATATTTTAATTCGGGTACATTAAATTGACATAATATGAGTAGTTTAAGGAGACATCGGTACTTTGACTTATATCAGCAGTCTCCATCAACGTTGAAAAACTACCTAAAATATTTTAATTCGGGTACATTAAATTGACATAATATGAGTAGTTTAAGGAGACATCGGTACTTTGACTTATATCAGCAGTCTCCATCAACGTTGAAAAACTACCTAAAATATTTTAATTCGGGTACATTAAATTGACATAATATGAGTAGTTTAAGGAGACATCGGTACTTTGACTTATATCAGCAGTCTCCATCAACGTTGAAAAACTACCTAAAATAAATTAATTTGGGTATACTAAGTTGACATAATATGAGTAGTTTATGGAGATATCGGTACTTTGACTCATTTCAGCAGTATCCATCAACGTTGAAAAACTACTTACGATGAAAAAAAAGGGGACATACCAAATTGAAATATAAGTAGTTTAAGGAGATATCGGCACTCACATGCTCCTTCGTGGTCTAGACCTCGGGCATGAGAGCACGCAGGGACATGTGATCTCCTTTCCGAGTCAATCGACATACAGATAATGTTTAAGCACATCCACAGATATTCCCAGTCGAAAACTACAAAAAGAGAAGGGGATGAGAGAAGAGAAAAGAAAAGAAAAAGAAGGAGATATAACATGTCTTATGCAGCAGGTAGGTACCCCAAAAGTCACGAGCTACATAGGTTTCTGTGTGCGGAGAAGATATAGACATCTAAGTTTTTTTTATATGTATATAAAAAAAATTATGTATGCATACATTGCTTTTTTAGGTGAAAGTAAGTATATAAATGGTTTCACAAGCAGGACGGTGCAGTGGAACCCCGCTGGACTTATATAATCGATGTCGGGAAAAAATGAGATTCCGAGGAAACACAATTAAAATTAGATAGAGAAAAGATTTACATATATCGTAGAGAGAAGGTTATATATTGATATATTGAATATATTGGTTTACGAAAAAAATTATTTTAGTTCATGTTGAAACTTTAGCAAGTTGTCTTGTCATCCATTACCTTATTTATTATACACAGTAGCTTGAAGATGACTTCAAGTTTGGGTGCCGGAGGTGTTGCTTCTTCCTCGATTTTCTTCCTAATACGTTCATGATCGCAATTTTTTTTGAAGAAACAGATTCATCCTTAACATATCCGAGGGAAACCCAAAAAAATACATCTTATGCGCAAAAATCGAAAAATTAATTTCTATTTGTCAGTCACTTATTTTGATTGAAAATCTCCATCTAGATAAAAGAAAGTAAAATGCTGGAAACCAGAGGACTCGCAAGTTGGAAAGAGTGCAACACAATCAAAGAACATTCCAGAAACCAGAAATAAGTGTATTAACTCGAGGAGTCTAAATTTCGAAATGTTTGTCCGGGAATAATGAATGTGATGCGACGGAGATTAGAACGAGATCACACTAAACCGAGCAGGTTCCCGTACGAGAGGTGATAATAGAGCGGGTGGAGTATGACGAGGCTTTACTACACAACGGAACAAGTGGTGCGGGTGGTCCGTCAGAAAGTCAACACCTCGACACCTCACCAGGGCCGTGGTAGCGATCCTCCTCGCCCGTCTAGGCAGCCATGCAGCGGGAGGGGCAGGATATGGGAAGCTCGAGCCCCTCTGCGTGAAGCGCGGGCGAGGGCGCAAGGCGGGCAGGGCGGGGGTTGGGCGTGGGGCTGGGGGTGGAGGGTGTCGTTCGTTCGTTGCGAGCGATTTGAATTCATGATGTGTTGAGACCCGAGTGAGAGAGAAGAGGGGGCCAACGTCTTTTGCATAACTCGTCAGGGGGGGGGGGGCAAGAAGGCAACGAGGGGCAAGGCGGGGGTTGGGGGGAGGGGGTGCAGGGGAAGCGTTGGCATTTTGCCCTAGCTTTTACCGCAGCCAGGAGGAGGAGGAGGAGGGGGAGTGAGGAGTGGGGGGCTGGAGGGAGGAGGAGGGTTCAAACTTGGGGCTTCGGGGGAGAGGAGATCCATGGGGGCGGGGGTTCGGAGGTGAATGAATGAATGAACCAATGAAAGAATTCGGCAACAAGAAAAACACCCGAAGAAGTCCACAAGTAGAAGTAGGTGGCGGTACCGTTAAAGGATTTCGATATGGCCCGACTTAAAACCTGCAAAGAGTGGTTCCCCATGCACCAACATTCAAGAACCAGGACAGCAGAACGAATCGGGAAGACTTCCTTCGGTGCCGAGCAATCATCTCGGCAGAACATCTCTCGCTTCGTGTGAGATACGTGTGAGCGCGATCCGTGAGAGGATCGGGTCGTCGGAAGTGAGTGCGTGGCCCGCTGTCTCTTCTGTCTCTGCCTCGGTTCGAAGTGCAACACTTCAGGAGATTGATTATCTTCGACGGACGACGACGGTACGAGAGGAAGAACCGGTACAAGAACATGAAGAAGAAGAAGGGTTCTTGAGAAACGGGTGGAGGAGTGAGTGGGGCATGCCCATGTCCAATGCCAATGTCTATTCGAGTGTCCGTATGCTCGCCCTGGCAGAAGACGAAAAAGGCTGGCTCACGATGTAAAAAAAAACCTCCGAGTTCGAAGTTCGATTCGATGTCGAGAGGAAGAAAAGGTGGTGTAAAGACAAAACTGGACCAGGTAGAAATTGAGTGGAAGAGCAGGGCCACGAACATAACACGAGGAGGCAGAGAAGTGGAAGCCATTGTTGGTGGATCGGCGAGATGGATTAATGTTGGGTACACGGGTTCCGAGGCTTTAGAAAGAGAGGGAGTGGAGCCGAAAATCAAAGTGCGGGTTTGTGGGGGAGAAGACAAGACACATGCAAGGGGAGCGAGCAAAAGGTGCTCCTGGTGGGCCAAACACCCATCACTCCATCTCAAGTTTCCAGGAGACCGAACCAAAGGAATTGAAATGCTCCATGTTACCTCTAGTGCAAATCCGCGAAAGGCTACAGGCCCGGCTACGGTGGTAGGTTTCCACGGGCGAGCAAGGAACGAGCAGCGGAGCGGAGCAAAGCAAAGGCCTCCTCCTCTTGCTTGCCCAAAACCCCACCCCCGCCCCCCGCGACCCAACCCAGCGGAGCCAAGGTCAGAGGATTGATTTGCAGCATGTTACTCCCACAGAGCGGCTCGTCCCAAAGGCTATGGCGGTAGGCCACTGTTGAGAACTCGGCGACAGTAATGGGGGGATGGCGTCAAAACAAAACGGAGGAGCGCAACTGGAGGCGCGAGGAGAGGAAGGGAGGGAAGTGAAAAATTGGGCACTCGCGTCCCCCGCTGATTGTTTCTCTTTTTCGTCTCTCGTGTGGCTGAGGGGCTGGGGCCCACGTCATCCATCCATGGCTGCAGCTTCTCTCGTCGCAACAGCACTCGACGAGAGACAGTGCGAGACTCCGACGAAGACGAGGTGTGCAGCAATAGACGAGATATGCGCGCGAGCTTTATATCTCGAGCAGATCCGTGAGCCGGCGATGGGAGTCGCGAGGGCCGGGGGGGAAGCAGCGAAGGGGGTTGGGGTTGGGGGTGGGGGTGGGGGGATGGGGGCTGGGGAGGGGGGGGTCTAGAATGTTATGAAGGGAAATGCGAGCCCACGTCGGGCCAACGCAAGCCATGTGATGATGGGAGCACCCACCGGGAGCAGAGGACCCGCGGATCTGAGGCGGGACCGATGGATGCGAGCGGAGGGGTCGCCCGAGCCCCGTCACATCATCATGGTGGACCCGACTGCGATCGCGCGACGTCAATTGGGCGAGGGCGGCAGAACACGGCGATGGACAGGGTCGGGGGCCGGGATCCGGGATCCGTCAGGCCGGCAGGGGCGGGGCTGCGAATCCGGGGGTGCGCCTCGAGCACGTTCGGGGCGACGTGCGCCGGAGGCCGCCGGAAAGATCTGGCGGAACTGGCATGGCTGCCGTCGTGTGCGTCGACGACGCGGTCTTTCCGACGCGTTTCTTTTTGTCGTGCCCTCCAGCCCCGCGCTGGCCTGGCCGCCTGCCTGCAATCCTGCCGGCCCGCCGGGCGAGCGGGGGTAAAAACGCTCGCGCTCCCCCCACGTAACTCCCCCGCCCCGTTCACGCTTTCCCCTTCCCTCCTCCCCGCCTCGTTTCATTGTCCTCCGCCGGGCCGCCCTGCCCGCGTAACGGGACCGCACGACGGCTAGGCCTTCCACCTTCAGCCTTCGGCCTTCGGCCTTCGGCCTTCCGCCACCTCCAGTTTGGCGGTGGCTAGCCGCGCTAAGCCCCCGCGAGGGGCTTCCCGAACCCCGCCGGGGGTTGCAGTCCCACGCAGCCAGACAGAGTCCTCCAGGCTACAGTTAGGCCAGGTAGATGTGCCAGCCCGAGGCACGCTGGCACTGGGGCCTACCCGAGACCAAATCGGGCATGACCAATTCGCAGGGGTAGGTTCGCCGGGGAGACCGTGCCGCTATTCGCGTGCGTCGTGACTCCAATCGCAGGCCCCGCGAGGCTCCCGTCGCGGCAGAGGCTGGGCTGTTGCTGCGGGCGAGCAGTGGCGAAGAAGAGCGAGTGCGCGAGAGGCAGCGGGCACCGCAGACACAGGAGCGCACAGCTCTCTCCTGTCTACTCTAAGTGCGCGCGAGCGCCACAGATCCTCAGAGCAGAGCAGAGAGGCGCACATCTCACTCAGCGCTCGTCTCCGAGCCTGCATCAACATCACCTCCCCCCGACCTCTCTCTATCTAAATCTCATTCTTTGTTTGTTTGATTGAAGTTTGTTTGAAAAGAACTCGCTCTAGGACACCCCGTAGTAGTTGTAGACACCTCGTCGACACCTCGAGGACGAGGACGGCGACGCCCAGCAGCAGCGGCTCCATTAGCTAGGAAGTCAGGGAGGAGGAAGCCGCTCAGCGAGAGGCAGCAGCAGCAGCAGCAGCAGATGAAAGCAGGTAGGGGATGAGCGAGAGGAGCATTTTGTCGTCGGCGCATTGTCGAGGGAACGAGCAGGAGCAGCAGGAAGTTGTAGGGACTAGAAGTGAAGACAGCAGCAGCCGCAGCAGCAGCAGCAGCAGCAAGAGTAGTTGGCGCGCAGGAGCAGAGGCACGCTGGGAGAGGCGGACGTGATTCTTGTGCTGGGGAGTGGCAACTCCACAGTGTGATGCGGTGCATGGGTGGGTTGTGGGTGGTGCTACTACTATGGAGCTCCGTACTCGGATCGTTTTCCGTTCAAGGTACTTTCTGCGTGCATTTCTCTCCTCCTCCTCCTCCTTTCCTCTTACGCATTCTTTGTGCAGCATCGCCAGATTAGCCGCCCATGGCGCTTAGCAGACTCACATTCATTCACTCAGCTCCACCGGAAGGACAGACACAGACACACAGACCTGAAACGAAAGAAAGTGAGGAAAGCATTGCCAGCCCCTTTAGCGAGCTTTAGTGAGGACAAGCGCACAGGAGCCCGCCCCTTCGAGCGAGGCCTTCGTTCGGGAGTGGGTCGAGCGCAGCCATCCCCAGCTCAGACCAGACCAGACGCTTCTGAGGCCATGGGTGACGGGCGGGTGCGCCTAGCTAGAGCATCATTGTTGAGATTTGAGTCCATCGTAGCGTCTGCTTAGACGACATTGCGCGCAGCATTGCTAGATGGGCGGGGTGGCTGGAAGTGCATTGTGATGGGACTGGATGGATGCGCACGGGGAGGGGGCACTGCCAAGGTGGTTGCTGCCAGATTGCTTGACGCTGCTGCTGCTGATGGTAATGAGAATGATGATTTAGAAGAGGGTCGAGGGAGGGTCTGAGATTGACGAGTCTGCTGGTTGGCATCAGGTTATCCGCAAGGCTATGAGTACCCGACCTGGAGCCCCACGCAGGTGAAGGAGGGCAACCATCCGCCGGGCGTCGGGCACCATCCTCCGGGAGTGGGAGGCCATGGTGACGATGCGGGCGGGCACCCTCCGGGCGTGGGAGGCCACCCTCCAGGCGTCGGCCATCACCCGCCGGGCGTGGGGCACCATTCGCCCATCAAGGATGCGGTGTACGCGCTGCTCTCGTGGAAGCGGGCCATCTACAGCGATCCGCTCAACATCACAGGCTCGTGGGTCGGGGACTACCCATGCTACACGGACGACGATAGGAAGTGGGTCGGGGTGTTCTGCGAAGTGGACCCCGAGACGGACGAGCTCGTAGTGGCGGGGATAGATCTGAATCACGGCATGCTGGCCGGCACCTTGGTGCCCGAGCTGGGCTACTTGAAAACCGTGGGCATCTTCCACATCAACAGCAATTACTTCCATGGCAGCATCCCCAACACGTTCAGGAAGCTGCGGAAGCTGACGGAGCTGGATGTGAGCAACAACATGCTCTCGGGGAGCTTCCCCCGCGTGGTGCTCAGGTTGCCATCGCTGATCTACTTGGACATCCGATTCAACAAATTCTACGGTCCTCTGCCCGATGACCTCTTCGACCTGCCTCTGGACGCGCTCTTTGTGAACAACAATGATTTCGACGGCTTCTTGCCATCGTCGTTAGGACGGTCGCCCGTGTCAGTCATGGTGGTGGCGAACAACAAGCTCGGGGGCCGTGTCCCGACCTCAATTAAGAACATGTCTTCGACACTAAATGAGATTCTATTTCTGAACAATCAATTCGAGGGTGCTCTGCCCGGCGAGATCGGCGCCCTCAACCAAGTTGTGGTGTTCGACATTGCCAAGAATAATCTGCTCAGCACTCTGCCCAACAGCATTCAGAACATGGAGAGCTTGGAAGCCTTCGACATCGCCGAGAACCAGTTCTACGGCGACTTGACGGCGGAGCTGTGCAATTTGCCCAATTTGGCGAATGTCACTGTCGTCGACAATTACTTCACCGGATTGTCTCCGGCCTGCGCCAATCTCACCGCTCGCGGTGTCATCTTCAACTTCGGCGGAAACTGTTTCGGTGGAGTCGCTGGCCAGAAGGACAACCAGACTTGTGCTGAGTTCTACCAAAGGTTGTTCCCGTCGCCCCCTGCTCCCGTGAGCTTGCCCCCTCCCACTCCTTCTCCCCCTCCACCATCTCCATCGCCGTCTCCCCCTCCTCCATCTCCATCGCCATCCCCCCCACCACCATCTCCATCTCCTCCTCCACCATCACCCCCTCCCCCACCCCCGTCTCCTCCCCCACCATCTCCTTCCCCTCCCCCACCACCATCTCCTCCTCCCCCATCTCCATCGCCTCCCCCTCCATCTCCCCCTCCTCCACCCCCGTCTCCCCCACCACCATCACCATCTCCTCCCCCTCCATCTCCCCCACCTCCATCACCACCTCCTCCTTCGCCATCTCCCCCACCTCCATCCCCACCTCCCCCACCACCATCGCCTCCTCCTCCTTCCCCATCTCCCCCACCCCCATCACCGCCTCCTCCATCCCCATCTCCCCCACCTCCATCTCCCCCTCCCCCATCGCCATCGCCTCCTCCTCCTTCTCCACCACCACCACCACCCCCGTCTCCACCCCCACCCCCAGCTCTGCCACCTTGCTCGAACTTCTTCCCTCCCCCATCGACCGGCAATCCTTCGCCATGGGGTCCTCCTCCGGATTCAAACAATCCTTCACCCTGGGGACCTCCCCCAGACTGGTGGACTCCTCCCCCATCCAAGTCCCCCCCTCCTCCACCATCTCAGTGGAGCGATCCTTCTCCTCCCTGGTCCAGCCCCCCTCCTGCCCCATACTGGTCGTCTCCCCCATCTCCACCATGGGCTCAACCCCCTGCCTGGACCTTCCCCTCACCCCCACCTCCAAGCCCATCGCCCCCTCCCCCAAGCCCATCTCCCCCTCCCCCATCCCCCTCACCTCCACCCCCATCACCGTCTCCTCCACCCCCAAGCCCATCTCCCCCTCCCCCATCTCCATCACCCCCTCCCCCAAGCCCATCACCCCCACCACCATCTCCATCTCCCCCTCCACCATCGCCTTCCCCACCACCTCCCTCGTATACCCCACCCCCAGTGTCATCCCCGCCCCCTCCATCTCCAACCTGGACTCAACCTTCACCCCCACCCCCAACGTACTCTCAGTCGTCGCCGCCACCACCTGCGTGGTCATCGCCTCCCTGGTCACAACCGCCAACAGAAACGTCACCACCCCCTCCAGCGCCTGTATATGCACCACCACCCTTCCCACCCTGCCAAATGGCACCAGGAGAAACATGGCCTACGTCATGGGGAGCTCCTCCTCCTTGGGTTTACATGTCTCCTCCTCCTGCCGAATCTCATTCTCCACCAAAGTATTAATGGTGATAAACAAACAGAATTAGAGAAGCATCCTTCGCCGGTATTGAGTTCTCGCTTGAGAGGTAGGAAAGAAGGGTGGCTTTTTAGGTTGGTTACTTGCAGTCGTATGCTTACAGGGAAACTTTACAAGGGGGAGAAACAGTTGTAAGATCGCAGCAGGCATTACATTATCAATGATCAACGGACTAGGTTTATTCGCTGTATTGGAATGGTTGGGGGTGACAAAGCACGCCACCCCTTCTGCTGCTCTGTATTCACTGTGCTGCAATCTATTTAAATTAATTCAGGACTCATTCTTTGTCTTAGAACTCTTAGGTTGATTATTATAAAAGATTGTCATTGGAAGATGTTTGGTTTTCCGTGTGTGGATTCCTTTTCCACCATTGGTTGTGAACTGTTTCTTGATGAATAAAACTTTCATTTAAGCTTACTCACGGACCACTCGCGCAATGTTTTTCTCCACTTAGGCCGCTTTGTCATCATTGTTTCATTCTCTCGCGTTCACTTTTTAGACAGTAGCTTGTTATGCTCCCCAACACATGCCGCTTCTTTTGTGCTTCGATTCGGGACTGTTGGGTCCACTGTTTTACGTTGCCAATCATTAGTGGTAGGACTGCACGCAATGGTAAGTGCGTCTTTTCATACATTGTGCTCTTTGTCGTCAACATGATTTCCTAGTAAAGCGATGATTCGACGATTTTTTTCCTATTTTTGACATATTCTGCAGTTTTTAATGTCTATAATATTGTTCCATTGTGGGCTTTATTCTCGTTAGTGTTGCATGGCAAGTGCCTCTAGAGAAAGTTGTTGCTTTTAGCTCGTGTTTTGTCGTCCTACATTGCGGATGTCTTCCCGACAAGCTGGTAGCGAAAGGTACGTCCAGTGCATGGATACATCCTGGATTCTAATACTTTGCGCATGATTGCTTGCCATTGCGATGATTTCCGAGGAGAATTTTGGGTTTGTGACATACTAAAGGATGTCGCTGAGATATGCAGGAGCAAGATGTCTAATTATCATGAAGGTCCTGCATGCATGGGCTCGGATGGACATTCCCTGCTCTTCGTGATCTTATGTCACTCCAGATTTTGTAGTTTGTGTAGGCCATCAGGCATAATAGCCATGGAATATGTTGTGTCCGTGCTAAGTGTGTATAGTCTTTTCTCACGGTTTCAGACAGCGTTTGGTACCGCCTACGTTTTTTGTAATCGTTTCTGCAGCATGTTGTTCTCAGGGGAACTTTAGAAAAGCATGCGTGCGAGGTTGTAACTGGATTGAATCAGTAACCCCGTCTTCTTTTTCAGTTTCCCGGTGACACTAGTCCACATTTTTAGTCGCGGGTTTCTCTCCTTCTCCGCGTCCCTCCCATGACAAGCTTTGTTTCTCTCTTCATCCACCAGGCGGCTCCACTCACCATTCTTCCAAGTAATGTGCGTCCGTCTGCAATTGTCAACTGTCATCGAAAGAAACGAATATTTCTTCTACAAGCGACCAGGGCGAGAAAGGTTTTCAGCTGAGGAAACTGTTGGAAGGACTGGTGGCGAAGTTCGATGCGGCCGTGAACCGTTTGGAATAGTATGAGAATCAAGTGTGGCCATGCTGACATCATGTTTGTCTTGAATGTGTTCAGATTCTCACTTTGTGTAGTCTCTTCTGTTCTGTTTTCTCTGGCGTCTTCTTGTTCTCCGTCCTCAGAATCTTCGCAGGAGTCGTGTCTTGGCAGTATCTCAAGCTCCGCGAGAGTAGAGTGTGTTCTCCTGTTGCATACAGCATGTTGTTTATTCTCAGCACTTCAACTGTACCTCTGTAATCATCTATAGTTTAGAACGGTGAGAATGATGCCCTCTGTCTCTTGTCCTTGCGAACATGGAAGTCAAATCACTTCCGGATCCTCGTCCCGTTCTGTTTCCAACTTGGAGGACAGATTTGTGCATGTCATATGTACTCCCAGAAGTACTATTAGAGTGCACTTAACGAGAAATGCCTCTGAGGACGATAGATATCCGAAGGAATATTCTAAAAGTCAACATCTCATTGCTCCTAGCTCAAATTTTCAGCAAGGAGTTGTATCGAGGTGGTTAGATCTGTGGCCGAAGGAGCGAATTTATTGAAATTGAAGCCGTCAAGAACTCTGGGCGTGCTATGGAGCCACTGTTTTCGTTTGAAGGAGACACCGTTTCAGGTCAGCCCTTCTTAATTTTTTGCTCTTTTCCTGTCATGTGTTTGGTTGATCACATATATCTCGCCCACTTCTGCATCCGGTCTTCTGGGACGAAAACCTTCCCCAGTGGATGAGGTAGTGTATATACTAGGTGGACAACTGAATTCTCCCCGTCAATGAGGAGAACTCCTGCTTTACAACGTAGACATTCTCTACCCTCCCGTCACCTCTTCAGGGTTCTCAAATCTTCTCCCTTAACATAGAACTGCACAGCGTGGGCACTGGCTGTTTGGCCTTCAGCTTGAAGATGTCATTTTCATCATTGCTCGTAGAGTACCTCTTATATATCCTGAAGTGCTATTTTTGCGGTGTTATTGTGTTCAGTGGCTGTAGAGAGCAAGCTGGATATCATCATGAAGTTGGTTAGAAGAGCTCTCAAAAAACTGAGAGTCCTTGTCATGGAGTTCAATATGCAACACGTTAGAATCAACTGTTTTGGAATTGAAAGGTAGAAACATATACGGACGAATGTGGATCTGGTATTGATTGACCCTGTGAAAACTATTGACTACGTAGATGTATCAGATGTAATCCACGTTTGAGTAATTTTTTTATCGGATGTCCTCGAAGGGACACGTCCATGGATAATGGATCCATGGACGTGTCCCCCGTGATGATCGAGAGGTACACTAAAATGGTGAAATCGCCGAAGGTAATGTACGATCCACTTCAAGATACTATGGTTTCTGGTTTGGAGACGTACTTTGTCCTATATCTAAAACCAAAGAGCTCGAAATTTGATGTTCGTCTTAGATTGTGCAGATTTGACATGGTACATATGCAATGACGGACTGGTGGTCGTGTGATTAATAAAGACGAGGTTTTTCTGAGCACATTGGAATGGACTATGCTTACACAGGATTTTCTACTCCCACGAGAAGGATGTAAGGACTCCTCCACGATCAGTTTTCTGTGTGATGGAGGTCATGTGTCCGTTCAGAATTGGTCAGCTGACTGGTCGGCCGAGTGTTTGCTCATGCATGTGTTGCAACAGTCGGAAAATCGTAGCTTCGAGTCTCAGGAGGTGCTGGCTTCTGAATTTTCATCAAGACGAGTCTTGAATCCGACGACGAGTGTTAGTCACTCCCTCAGGTAATTGTACCCACGAATCTCGTCGTTGTTCTTCCACTGGAAGCTTGAGAAGTCGAATATAATCATGAAGCTCTGCATTTGACCATACACGTGGAAAATGGAAGTTGCACCATGACAGGTTCATGATACAACACCTATCCATTATGTGCTTACCGGCGTACGTCCAGTCCAAACTCATTGATAGTACTCAGCACGATGCTGATATTATTGGCATGTGTTGGAGATAGATTCGACCAACGATTTTCTCATTTCGTTTGTGTGCTATATTTGTCACCTTTTTAGAAAGGCTTTTCTACCGCGATCCTCTTTGACGGCTGATTCTCATGCTTCGTAATTAAGCACTACTTCTTCGAGGGCTTTTACCAGTGGACTATACGTGTGGATACGGTTTAGACACACACTCTCTATATATATCAATATGTAAACATAAGTCTATCTTAGTTTTTAATATGATGATGAAGTTCAAAAAATAGGGATATGTTAGTAAATAAATGAATCATCTACGAAATTGGTGTAACAACAGCTACACTCTATGTTTTGAACTTTTGAAATTGAGATTTTACGAAATATTTCTGTACCAAAATGATTTTATGAACAGTAGTGTATATAAAATTTTGCATACGCAGAAAGTGAAGGAAACCTAGCAAAATTATGCTGCATTGGAATCAAATGCTCCCTTTTGCTCATATGACGAGGATATGATGTAGTGAAGGCGTTGAGAAATGTTTTGTTTGAAAACATAGTCCAAGAAAATTTATTTTCAAACATCACATATCAAGATGAATAGAGACAAAATAGGTAACGATTTATTTTGGTCATTTGTATTTCATTTACAAGTAGATTTTTTCTTGCTAAGTGTTGAAGGTGGAACTTAAATATCTAGCATCTCTTAAGGCATGTATGACGTGAATATGTCTATGACAAAAAAATTTGATAATGTCATAGAAGATAAAGAATGGTGGCTGATTCAAGGGGTTATGACCGGTAAAGGTAAACAGTTTTAACCTAAATCATCATTCCATGATAATTTTGCAGACTTTAAAATAAATTATAATCATGTAAGTGGTATTGAATCTTAATTATTTGACAGTTGTGTATAACCTTCTATTGCTTGCTTTTTGTAAGCACACAACTTTAATGCTCTATCTATAATGACGTAGATAGGTTTTCATTTAAACAATCAAATGTTAATTTATATATATTGATTTTCTTTTCACACAATTATACCATAGTATGAATTGTAAACATGAATTTGTTTTTAATATACATAAAAAAAATAGATCACACATATATTCATCTTGACATTTCAAAACAGTACTTTTAAGTATAATTTGAGATATTTTTCATAACATAATATCATAAAACTTATACAATATTTAATGACAATGACTCCATTTCATCATGCATTAAATGATTTTTATTTACTTTTAAAAAATTTTGACAAAAATTTATTTTTGAATAAAGATGTATTTTTGAAAAAGATGAATGCAACTACTTCTATAGTTATTTTGATTTTTTCATAAAATTATAGTGTGCATAGAATTTTGTTTAAAATATTCTCATAAGTTTTTGCATAACGTATATGCAGAAACATAAAAAATTGAACTTTATTTGAAGAAGTTTATGTTAATTTTGTTTTTTAAACTCAACATTTCTGCACATGCAATTCTATCATTCACAATTCTTATATATATTTGTTTTATGTCACGAATAGTCCCAGTTGATTTTTAAAATTAGAAGCTTTCCAATTCTAAGATAAAGTTATTTTCTTAAAAAAATTATAGGACAGAAACTTGAATTTTTAAATACAATGTACAATTGTATCTAGACTGAAATCTATTGAATCTCCTAAACTTAATCAAAATGTGTTATTCTAAGGTTGTAGGTTAGTATCTCAAAGTTTTCAGACAGTCAAGATGCCAGTCGCCGACGTCTGAGACCATCTGATCTTGTCTTGAGCCATCGCTTTTCAACTCCATCTGACTTGTGCAGCGAAGACAATCAATCATCGATTACATGCTCGTTCACTTCCCACTGCTCATTCTGTTGCCTTTATGTGCTGTGGAAAGAAGTAGTTTAAGAGATTCCTTCCATCCAAGTAAGGACATCTGTACCACATTTGACTTGTATTTACATCCCTCTGCCGACTGCAACAGCCACAGACGTATATAAATTCAGAAGCTCTCCGTCTGAGCCTTCACTCTCAGAATGATCCCAAATTCGCTGACAATGCACTGTTAGTGTCCGAAAGCTTGATGAGAACGGAGATGGCCATGGAAAGGCTCACTGTGATGATGAGATCGATCTTCGTTATCAGTTGCCTGACAGCAGCGGCTCATGCTCAGTCTTCAGCTGCAACGTACGAGCTCATAATTAGAGCATCCTACATGTTGGTTCACAACTGTGCTATTGATGATGCCTCGAGTGGTGACCCTTTGGAAGCAGGATGTACTCGATCGATGTCTCCATTGTTGTTCCGATGAAATAATAATGAGCTGCTTTTGTTCAGATGATCATGATTGCAGTAGAATTCAGAAGGTAATTACGTGTATACGAAATCCACAGTCTGTATCATGTCAAGTTTACTGCCTTGTTTAATGTGAGTGTTGGTTTTGGAGGTAGGCTCGTACAGAGTTGAATTCAATGTTGCTCTGTTCCTAGAAATTGATTCCTAGTATTAAGGATTTCCACTTCATTACAATAACTACGTGTTTCTATGTATGCTGTAGACTCTTGAAGCTTGGAGTTCATTTGAATCACAAAACAAGACCTGGTCCAGTAAATAGTCAATGAAAGGCCACTTTTATTTCACGTCGATTTCTCTCCCACTTTCTTCTTCCGTTTGGTGTCATTTTTATAACAGGGGTCCCATCAAAGTAATGTCCAATACTTTGATCCAAACTCGAGACGGATGTCAAGAAGATCACAATAATGACATTGGTCATCTCAGAACACAGTTATATTGTTCTGTTATACTCAATCAGGTGCAGAAGGTCATGCCTCTCCGCGACTACATCGTGCAACGCTCACAGAGGACCAAATGCCACGCCTGAAAGCAGCTATGCACTCATTCTTGCTTCGCTTATGATTAAGCAAGCGTTCGTAACACTTCCTCGTTTCAAAATGCTACACTATACATCATCGATTTTAATGGCAGTGATTCTGTGCTTGATTTTAAAGTCAAGCACAGAATCACTTCGAACGCAGTCCATCTTATGGACGAATCCCAATGTTATTCAGAAGGGCTTAAAGCAATGTAAAAGTCGATCTTATGCAGGTGCAGACAACGATCGTAGCAGCGTCAACTTTCTCATGAACACGATTTGCATAAGTGAATAATTTTACAAAGGAACAAAGTGATGTTCATCGATCGATTACTGGCCTGAACCAGGTACGAACTTCACGCTTTCCCTTTCCGCGCAGTTCTCTTGAACTGCTGACATCTTGTTCCCGGTGTTCTTTTCCTTTGTGAGAGATTGCCACTGTACTGAATCAGCCCGTTGATTCTGGGGGATTCACTAGCTCCGGCGATGGATTCGAACCGGGATAATCATACATACCGGTGGGACTCGGAAGGCTTAGAATTTGAGAAGCGTCCAACTGAGCGCTGGTTTGGGTTTGATCGTCCGATAAAAACTCATTCGGACTTGTCAAGAACAAGTTCCTCGTCACTAGCTCCTCCTGCAGTTTAGACTGGTGCAATCACAGACAATGGCAAGAGGTTCTATGTCAGCTATTTACATATTTTCACCAGAGTTTCGTGACGTTTTAAACATTCGTAACTCAAACATCCACCAACCACTAATAAAATCTTTCTAAACAGAACAGCATCATTCCTGATCTTGCAAAATCCAGACTGTGAGCAATTGCATTTCATGCAAAGTCAGTATATTCCACAGACAGCGATTTAGCGCGACCCCATAAAAGTAGTGCTGACCTGTTTAGTCTGCATTTCTTCGACATCTCGCTCTGGCTGAAACTTGGAAATTCCATCCTGCTCTGATATTTCCCAGGCTGCTCATCGTAGCAAAATGCGCATGCAGGCAGATCACATGACATGGATCAGTCACCCTGAGAATTTCCAGTGCCCGATGACGGACGCTTGTCAAATGATACAACAGAAGAATTCGCTCACTTCATAGATTGAAAGATTTCGTGGTTTAAGTTCGTGTACCTGATTTTTTCATCTGGATGTGCAAACATCTGGCTCGAGCACGGGCTTGACCTGAGCTCAACTGCAGTATGGTGATGACGATAAGCATATATAAAGACTTCCGTGCCATGGTAGCAAGCGCTGGCTCACGGTTCACAGTACCAAGTATAGTTGACTCTTCCATCGTTGCTTCTGATGAACTTAATACTTCGGCTCCGCTTTGCTCGAAGCAATGCACGTGTAACTTCCATCGATGTCAAAATTAATGAGACTGATCACAATCAAGGACCGGCTATCTGAACTGGAGCGATCGAAGGTCTCATTCGGGCTGATGAATGCAGCTCCTGTCCAAATCTTGTCATGCCATGTAAATTTTGATGAGTGACTGGCAAATGGCGCATCCAGGTCCAGCTCTTGTCAATATGAAAATTCCGTCAAGGTGACGGACTGACATGACATTGATACCTCTTCATAAACAGCAAGATATGTTTTATCCTGCCTTTAACCATCTATCACCGGCAGTGAAGCAAAGGTGAAAGGAAGCACTCGATCTGAACCCGCTGATCTGATCGGCTTTACTGAAGGTCGTCGAGTGTTTCATTCATTAGCTCAGTGAGACTGATGAATGAAACTCACGTCCATCTCTTGATCCATTAATCATCCTTCACTAATACGTGCTGCCCTCTTTCTCTCTCCCTCTCTGTCCATCTGGACCTGGGCTCTAGATGGGTAGACATTCTGGTCTTATGTATGTGAGGAGGGGGGTCTGTGGATGGGGTTGGAAAATCTACGACTCCAAGTGGTTCCCGAGTGAATAAAAGAGTAAAACAAAAAATAATAAATGTATAATGTTTTCCATCTTATTGCTATAATACTTGTGCACCCTTCTCTTGGTTCCCATTCCAGTAGAAGTATGCTATTTATACACCTGAATCTGCCTGGTGTCAACGCCCGATACCAATCTCCATGCTCAAAGCTCCCCATGGCGGAATTGATTGTTTGTAGAGCATATGTTTGCGGTCAACTTGTTCACTGTCTAGTGTTATCCCAGGAAAAGTCCCTGGCCCCCACTCTCTTTGAGCCTCACGTGTAGTATGGGGCTAATTCCAAAAGGGATATATGGGGTTACGTAGTACTGTAATGTACGTATTCCATAGTGGGTCTATTGGTTCTAGCCCCATATTACACGCAAGGTTTCATCCATGTTGTGGCTTGAAGGGCTCTTATCGATATTGTCCTATTTTTACTACCTGGGCCCGCTCTTTTCGAACCTGTGACTACTCAGCTCAACTTTTCTAAAGGCTCACGTGCTCTCATCTTCGAATCCTTAATCCAGATGTGCGTAATATGTTTGAATGTTTGCCAGTACCACTTCAATCTCGAGAGCGACTAAGCACGGGACGGAGAGAATTGTGGGGAAGGCGACTCCCAAGGCACAGAAAACAGAAGTTCGGTCCTTTCATAGCGAAGTTTTATATCTCTCATTTGTAAATCGTAAAGTGTAATGATAGTTTGCGTGTTTAACCAGCACTAAACGTCATGTACATTTCAACTATGTGGAGATCCAGCTAATGAGATGTTGTAAGTATTTATTACCAAATGTGGTCAATAAGTTCCCTGTAGAGTCTGCAGGGAACCCATTGTACAAGAGAGCTACAGTGTAGACTCTCTTGTTTGTATGTCGTGTGCTAATCCTATCATATTTGTCCATATCACATGCTAAAAACTTTTTTCCTTAAAAAAGGGGAAGATGTAATCCAACTCTCGGAATTGGCTTTCACTTGCGCAGTGTTATATCCCAAATTGAGAAATCAGGCCGATAGTTGACAAGACAGCAGTACCCTTGACAGCTTTTCCGATATAAAGTACAAGACCACAATCGTTCTGCTTGGATTAAGCTACCAAACACTCTTCAGCATCATGTAAAATTTTCCACTTTGGTTGGCTTTCCCATTTTCTCTTGCGGTTAATCTTTCATACATTCTGTACATTCTGAACTCCTTTTTCGCAAAGGGTAATAAATGTACAAAATAAAAGTGTCTCTACATTCCGAACTCCTTTTCCGGGAAGGGTACTAAATGTATAAAATAAAAATGTCTGATCGCGGGCTCGAACCGCGGACCTCTAGTGTGTGAGACTAGCGTGATGACCAACTACACCAACCAGACTTGTTGTTTCGCTTGATAAAAATTTAATACTTATTGTATATTGAAGTAAATGGAACATGGAAGAAACACTGAAAACACAGGAATCGCCGCACACTATTTGATCCTACTATAAGAACATACAATTTATATATTAACGAGAAAAATATTGAAAAATTAGATCAAATAGCATTAACATGGGAAAACACTGGATTAAGGAATCTCCGCAAAAAGATTTGGTCCCAGTCTCAAAACAAACATTTTACATCTTAACAAGACAAAAATTAACATGGGAAAACAATCGCCGCGAAGTATTTGATCCCAGTATCAGCACAAACGGATTCAAATTTGCAGTAAGAAGAGGAAGTAGAGGCGAAACGACTTGCCGCGGCAACCGGCCGCTACACGTTGCAGCTCTGGGCCGCCAGCGGCGTCCATCTTCTCGTCTACTTGTCATTCCCACGTCGACATGTGGAATGACATTTTGTCATCGGACGGTACGTCGAAGACGACGAGCAGAAAGAAATGTCGAGAAGAGCCGGACGTACTCCCCGCACAAGAAGAACGTGCTCAACTCGGCGCTCATTGCAATCATGGATCAGAGTCTAATTTCCTGGTATTACTTCTAATGATGCGCACTCGATTTTTGCGGTTAGGCGAAGGGCCGTGAGGACTTTCTGTCGGTTCCGTTTGTACGTCCATCTTTTTCTCCTGAGTTCTCGATCCTTCGTCCGTGATTTCTTGAATTCTCTTCAGCTCTTAAGATCGATTTATCGGATTTCATCGCTGCATTCGGCGAACAGCCATCTCTTCATGGATTCCAGCATCGGAACGACGTTCAATGCTGATTTTGAACACTCTGAAGGTTTAAATCGAAGAGAGGAGTATCGATTATGTTGGAATCCGTCCTCAAGATCCGAGATCGACGATGATTCTCCTGAAGGACGCAGTGAGTGGAGCTCTCTACGAGGTACGCTTGCAGAGTGTCGAAATTCTGGGAACTTTCTTGCAGCTGAGATGGAAGCTGGTGTGGGCAATGACTTTGCTGAAATCTATCAAGCTATTGCCGATGTAGAACACAAAGTTCAGGAGTTGTGCACTGAGCTTGTCCGGCTTCAGGCGTCTGTGGAAATCTTCAACCCGAATAGATAAATGTTGATCCTTGACCAGTATGGCGAGAGAGCCCTTAGGCTATGAAAGTATTGCTTGTACAGCAGCCCCGCATCTAGAGCTTACAAACCTCATATCTAGGCTCTGGACTTTTATAGCGGCTAGCCATGATCAGGAAATTTCTTCTAGCGTCTCCATATTGTACAGTCTTCCTGTGTAAATTAGAACACACAAGCACATCACGGCTAATCTAGTATCACAGTATAACTTTTAGAATTTTAATTACTCAACTTGTACTTTGACAACATCAACTTTGATTCGACGACTCAGCTGTGTCTTGATATGTTCATGTAGCTTCTTAGACGCAGCGAGTATGTTACGATATGACGACTATTTATTAATATAATATCAATTTTCAACTGTTAGATTACTGTTATACTCCCTATTATTTCTTGCTTCTTCTCTAGTTCTTTAGTTTACTTATAGTTAGGACTGTGTTGTGATGTGTATTACAGCTGTGATGTAACGGACACCGCACCGTAACCCACTACGGAGGTGTGTCCCACTTCGACTTTTCATTTCATTTGTCCCTTCGGATTGGGTATTTAAACCCAATCCGGTACAATGTGGATACTTCCTCAGAACTAAGGAACCTGTGTCTTATGGAACCTTATGAGTGTCTTTACGCTGTAACCGATATCCTTTGGCATGGACAGAAGCCGGATCTGCGCCACTTACAAGTTTTTGGATGTACTGCCTTTGCCCATATTGAAAAAGGCCATCGGGGTAAGATTGACCCCAAGAGTGAAAAATGTGTTTTCCTTGGTTTTCTCCTACAGCCGAAGGAGATCGGTTACAGCGAAAAGACACTAATAAGATTATTGAGAGCAGATCTGTCAGATTTATGCCTCTTGCGGTTCACCATCAGCAGACATCAGATGTTCCGCCTGCTCAGCAAGAAGGTTTTACTCCCTTTCGCCCTTTACCATTAGCTTCATCGACTGATCCAGTTCGCAGGTTCCTCCATCCGCCGATATTACCAGCAGGACGGCCACCAGCAGTGGGAGAATTTAGTCCGGTTACACCATCACCTGGAGTGGGAGTTCCACAGTCACCTTCCACTTCCTCCGCGAGTCATACTCCTCTCGTTGATACGGTTCGCAATCTCGAGCACTTATTGGGTGACCTCAGACTTCAAGACACTACATCTGAGGCCCCGTATACAGATACAGCTACGGGGGCAGCTTTATCCTCTTGTCAATGTCCAGGTTTGGTTTTTCTTCAAAGAAGAAAGATGAATTTTCTTCAAAGAACAAAGATGAATTTTCTTCTTTGAAGAAAAATCGAACCTGGACATTGACAGAGTTACCTGCGGGCAAGAACGTCGTTGGCTGTAAATGGATTTATAAACTTATATACAAGCCTGACGGTTCTGTTGATCGATACAAGGCCAGATTAGTACCGAAAGGATATTCACAGGTTTATGGTGTTGACTTTTCGGAAACATTTTCTCCTGTGGTGAAGATGACATCCATTAGGGTGTTAATGGCTCTAGCAGCTCAAACAATTTGGAGGTGCACCAGAAGGACGTGAAAACTGCATTTCTGAACGGACTATTGGATGAAGAAGTCTACATGGCCCTTCCTGAAGGGTTGAATATCTCTTCTGAGAAAAACATGGTATGCAAACTGAATAAGTCCATTTATGGACTGAAGCAATCCTCACGACAATGGTATCAAAGGATTGACTCGTTCTTACTGCAGATTGCTTTTACCAGAGGCAATGCGGATCAGAATGTTTACTTATACTCTCAGGAGTATGGATCCACAGCAATATTCGGCTTTATCTCCTTTAAAATCCCCACATCACTTTGCGAAAGCTTCGGCTTACTGTCGAAAATACCGTACAGCTTTAGACGTGAATACAAACAGAAAACATTGCATAACCAATGGTTTTTTCACGCCCAAGGATCTGATGGTGCAGTGTTTGCTTGGAGACTTAGTAGTGAAGTATTTTACGGTCAATCCTCTTATGGGAGTAGAGTTTGGCTGGAATAAGTATATCACTTGTGTGATTCGCGTTTCAAAAATGGCAACAAGAATATTCTCTATACCTTGGAAAGATAAGAAATATGTAGAGCTAGAATGTAGTTCATCTCCTGTTAATCATCATCCGGTCCGTGTTCGTTGCCTTTCAGCTAATTACTGTTCGCAGCTCACAGAGCAAATTACTTTAATTGGTTTACTCCAATTCAGGTCTTCGTGATTAATCGTTCAAAATCATGGTTACTCGCAAGAAAGTCGTGCTTTTTACGTTTACCGTTGAAATTTGCAGCATAGATGGCGAGTTGACGACATAGAAGACATACATAATCATATCAACACGTGTGGGACGAAACCATCGACACTCATACGATCAGAGTTTGATTTCCGCAACGCAATAACTTCCTTTACTGATACATGTGGTGATCACACGACCGGCTGCTTTCATTGTTGCCTCAGCAGCAGCTTACTGGCAAAGACTTTCGACACATAAAAGGAAACCAACAGGCTACACATAACCGATAGAGCAGTTTTGATTCCAGAACATTGCTATTTACACAATTAACTTGGAAGAGAACAATTTTGGTAAATTACCTGGCAGTACGTCTAAATTTAATCTAGTATTGGTGATCCTTCTGATCGGAAATTAATTTGACAAATGTAGTCAATTTGTCATTTGAAGGACGCCCGTCAATATACAAGCGCAGTCTACAGTCGTCCTGCTTCCAGGTCGTTGGCCCCGTTCGCTTGTCGACCGGGAATAAGATCACTTCGTTCACTAGACCCTCCAGTTGGTTCACCATGAGTGCCCGGAATATATTTGTACGGATATCCAGCTGTAACCACAGAATATCAGCACGTCAGCTTGGATTACTACATCTCAAATATTCTAAACAATTTCTTACCTACCACGTCAGCCTTGCGTCGAATCTGTAAGTACACATGAAAAACAAAATGGTTATACCAGTGATGGCATTTACCTGTGTCAGAGTAGAAGCTAGGAAAGTGCTGTCTGTAGCAGAGATATGCGACAAATATGCCTGCAAATGAAAGAAAGTTTTCGTCAGTTTTGTTTCAGGCATACGGCCCTAAAATCAGAAGTGCATTGAGGGCCTGCAAGAAAGATGCAACCGGAGCACCGTGACCATCGCTAACCAGTATGTACATCTTGCATTCCTTGTTCAGCTGTTCACAGAACTCATTTGCAAGACTGCCATTCAATTACGATGAATCCGATACCGACATTTTCCAATGATAGTTTCCGAACTTACCTAATAAAGCACCAAATATGATATCTTCCCATCGGTGCTGATAGTCACAGACGCGTGAAATCGAGATGAGAGTGGCGGCCAACAAAGGCAATAAGACCCAAAAGATCCTTAAAGTGCGTCCTCGCTTATCGAAGATGCCGAACTTTGCAGCAAGGTATAACGATAAGTAACCAAGCCCAGCGAAACACCCTGCAAAATTAAAAAAAAGTTGGTACAAAACCAGCTGCAGAGGATATTCATTGCATTGATTTGACAAGGTACAAAACCAACACACTGAATAACGCAATACCACTTTGATAAGAATCCGCATTTCTTTCTGCAGTTATGCACATGAGTTTACATGTAAATTTTTTTGTTAAAAACTGGTGATTCAAACCGCATTTTACTCAAAACATATAATAGACTCGTCCATAAGTTCACAGCTGAAACTGGAAACTTCCACAAGCTTACGCACATGATGCATGCCCACTAGGAAAGCTTTTGTAACCATCTTTGATATCAGATTCGACCCCGTGACACAACACTTCTTTGTTGGCTTGGTACTCCTACAGCCACACAAGAACACTGCAAATTAGCCTGCTGAATAAATTGCGCTAACAGACATAGTCCAGTCTGGTACTTGAAACCCATCAGTGGTTCGGGCGATGTTTACATTTAATTCAGAATTTCCTAACTAGAATCTTTGAGGTAACAACCAGACACTTTCTCGCGTCTGGAAGCACATATGTAACAGATATTTCAACATTTCCGATCCAAAGGAGATGTGCCCATCATTTACGGCAACAAAACAAAATTCTGTCCAATGTATTGCACTCGAAAGTTCTACAATGGTACTTAATAAAATCTGCCAGTCATAGTCGAAATTCCAACAACCCACGTCCTGGCAGGGCCGTGCTGGTAATCATAACCATAAAGGAGAAGGTAGGGAGTTACCGGTACACCGTCTGGGAAACACCTCCAGAAAAAGTCGGGTCGGGGCATACCAACTGTGTTCTTTATCGAGTCGGTTAGGAGGGCTGTCAGGGCAATCGCTGTCCCAAGACCTAAACAGGAAAAAATGTACCGTGTAAAGCGCAAGTCGATTTCATCACCATCTTCACTAACGATCTAACCATCCGTACAACTTGAAATATATTTTGATTCCATGGGGGCCACTACACAGAATCCCTTCTCCTGGTCTATATTTTTTACTTCAATTGACTCAACGCGTGCTCTCTACTATCAGAAACATGTGCACACTTGTCCCAAACCTCAAGCGGTAAGCACTATAGTTAATTCACTCACCTAAGAAGGCATTGTGAAAGTCCCGGACACTTCTTCTTTTTAAGAAGTAAGCAAAGAAGACGGCCAGAGGTATAAAAACTGCAATGACCTGTTCAAAAATGACAATTAGAAGTGGGACAGACACAAGCAGAACAAGTACACAACTTCTGAAGACATGTATATACAAGACGTTTAAATAAATGCATCTGCGAAAATGAGATGTGGAAACTAGCACGACGTAACTCACAGAGGGTAGACTAACAGGTTACGCATGATGTGCATAACTAAGAACTCACCAGCACACTCCAAGTGGGCACCGTAAAATCTTTTCGAGGATACTCATAGTTTTCAATAATGTCTTCACCCACATATCGGTGGAAAGGAGGAATGACAACGTAAACGACGATCTCCAGACCAGCAATTATCACAACCATCAACCAATCTTTCAGGTGATACTTCAAAAGTGCGAGGGTTGAAATGTCTGTTCCTTGTCCTTCCCTGGCGATTGGAGGCAATTCTGCCCCTCTCAAAGGCTGATTCAGGGTCTCCGCTCCCCTGTCTGCACACACAACCAGCTCATATGAGCACATTTATAACTTACTTCATCCCGTGAAGAAACTCACAGGGCAGTGATAACTGTATGGCAACAGTATCTCTGGCTTCAACTTCCAACAAAAGGTTCTTTAGGTCCATGATGATACAGACTTTGCCCACCATAAAGGGCGAAATCTGCAAGTGCAGAAGTTCGGCCTTTGGTATGGGCAAATTGTCCTGCAACGTCAAATGAGCGATGCAAAGAACTTTGGAAATGCCATCTTACATCACGAGTGGAATAACACGGAGGTTTACCATTCTACAGAAGCAACGTCCTAATCACCGGATTGGACCCAACAATATACATCCAATACGGTACAAGAAATATGACTAGAAATAATCCTGCTTCTCAGATGATTCAACAATTCACTCTTGCTTCTGGGGTCGGGATCTATCTCTGAGACTCGAACTCATAATCATATAACAAGCTACTCACCAACATAATATTGGATGTGACCGGAATGTAGAGTGCAGTAAGCACAAAAGTGTACATTCCACATCCATATCGGGTGAAATGAGATAATCCGCAATTGACAAAAACAAACCCAATTCCAAAAAAGCGTACGTGTTCCAAAGCTCTGCCCAAATCATTGAAAATGATCACATTGTGCAGGCTCCGTAGTGTATCTGAAATTCCGAGCTGTATTAATATCAAATACACAGCGTTCGACAATCGGGCTTGTCGCCCCTCTGCCTCTGACACGAGAATCACTTGAACCCGTTGCACTCCCGGGTTTGTTAAGATGGGAAGGTTTGTATCCTCCTCCGCTACTCGCATTCAGATCAATATTATGAGACAACGACATACTCGAATCAACTTTCTTATACGAATTTAGTATTTTTTATTAAATTCCGGCGGAATTTTTGTGATTGTTGAATGCATCTCATACCCCTCGCTCCGCACTCTCCGAGTGCACAACCGTTCATTCAGACCCCCACCGCTACCGGAAAAGCCTTCCGCAAAGAACTTCTCCCGTCCGAAAATCCGTCTGTCCGGCAGTTCACGAACTCGATTAGAAGTGATGCGCAACACCCGGCCAGTGACCGCCAGTCACTGACCCTCGTACGGAGGATAATAGCAAGGATTGTACGGTACACAGAGTTCGAATGACAGTCCTGAAAGCGACAGAGAAAAAATATTCTCGGCCCATCAGTCCGACGCGTAGTCACCGGAGGACACCACGCGGACTCGTCGAGCCTCTCCTACTTCCTACAAGCAGAAGGGCCGACGGGCACAAGCCCTCGACGAGGACCTCCGCCTCGTCGGTCGCAGTGGACTAACGGGACTACTTTCGCTGACACGTCACTACGCTCTCGGCAGGTGAGCCGCTTGGCGACCTCCTTGGATTCCTACGTGTCACCGCAAAATCGATTTCCAGCCCTCGAAGATAATTTTTCTCGAAGACTCGGAAGAAACGAAAATGGGAAGAAAGAATAATTCGAGAACGTGAAATGAAACGAGGCTCTCATGACGCTGCACTTCGTCGTCGAACGTCGAAATTGAAAAGCAAAGATGCAGTTCTGTCCAATAACGTTTGAACTGACCAAATTCACTGACCGTCCAGCGCACAAAGGAAAATGCTAGCGAGCTCAAAATCACTGGTACAATGTGTGATTAGAACGATCTGAATCGGTGCCAAAAACTGACAGACTTTTGCAAGTTTACAATTTCTTGAAATTAGTAAACTTCAATCGCCGGGACATTCGACACACAGCAACGGTTATTGCGAAAAGGGCACGTATCAGAGGCAAACGACAAACAGAAGAAGCGTCGAAAGTTGAGGAAGAGCTATGTCACTTCTCTTGAGGCTTTCGGGCATCGTTGTAGATGAAACCCGAGGAATAAAATTAAACTGTCCAACTTGAGCATTCATGGATTAACATATCCAAACCGTTGCAGCAACTGCGAATAAACGAAAGACTCTGAACGAAAGGAGAAAACTCGCGAGACCGAGAAGTCCAAGCTGACACAAAGCGAGTACAGGGATTTACTGCATGAGACATGTCACTCAACCACTGAATTCTTCGAGCACAGAGGCAATCACCTGGAACTCCAGAACTAGCTACATTCACCCGGTTCTCCTCGGGATTACCCATGTTTCGACACCACGCTACAAAACCCGCTGCGAGAAACCTTTCGACCGATAAACACAATGTCCGCTGGTGACGAGGTCGAAGCTGTCCTCCCCGAGCTCCAGCAAGAATTTTCGACGGCCCTGAATTACCCCACGCATATTCTGTCCATCATCCGCCCTGCACCGTCTCTCTCCTCGGGGCCTTCCTGCCTTCCACCCTTCCACGAGCTACGGGAGCAGAAATACCCAAACCGCCCTCGTCAGCTCTCTCGTTCGCAGCTGGAGCTCGCGGGGAGAGCACACGCCGTTGCGAGGTTAAAAGTCAGTCAGAGGGCCGAGAGGGGTTTCAAGAGCTCCCCCTTCCGTACACGCAAGTACTGGCCGCACTGGGCGCTCCGCTCCGATCAGCGAGACGTGTAACGGGCCAAAGCGGTCCCAATTGTCCACTGCAACATGAACGAGCTTTCGCAGCAGCAGGCGGTCGGGCGGTCGGTCGGATGCCTTTGAAGGCACGACTGCGGTCGCCTCGTGGCACAGAGGGGCTGCGGTAAAGTGCAATTCGGCCGAATAAGGCTCCGTTGCTGTCGATTTGCCGCTGGCAAGTCGAGCTCGGAATGCGGGGGCGACGATCGGGACTCGGCACACGAGCCGAAGGGTCCAAATCCTCCGTCGCTGCCATAGCTGAGCCCTTCCTTCCCCTCGAACCTGCCTCGCCCAGGCGAGCTTCGATGACTCAGCACGACATGCACGCCATGTGCTCTCTTCCCATTCGCTCGATCGTCCCGCACGTCCAGTCGAACGGCTTTCACTGGCCATGTGGCAACCTTTCGACTGCCATCGGGTCTACCCTGAGCGTGCTACCTGCAGTGCGCTGAGCGCTTTTGACTTCTAATATTACACTCCCGCTGGGTGTCGTCGGCCAATACTTCGGTGACGTGGCACCACTGAAGCGTACGTGTGTGCCTTGGTCATTGGCCTACGGAGCTCCGATTGAGGCGCGGACATACCCCGAGCAAGCCGGTTACGAGAACTTGAGACGAGGTACGAGAAAACTATAGGGGAGACAAAGAGTACGCATCAGAAGGCGCTAAATTTCGTTGCGAGAATCCATGATTGCCCAAGGAAGGGGGAGAACGTGGTTTTCGGTCATCAGTACTAGGAGTTAAATAACTACTTAGCACTGATTCTTAATAGGGGATTTTCAACGATTCTTCTACTCTTCAGATATCACGTTGCAACAGGTTGTACTTTGCTATCCAAATGAGTAATTATCGCATGTAAACTTATTGAACATATAGATCCATGTTATAATCAAGGTACTATCACACTCGTAAATTTGTTATGAAGATGTATATTGATGCATGACTGAAGAGATAATTGACGAAAATAAAAATAACTTTTATTATTTTCATAAGCCAATGTCCAGAATATGAATAAAAAGCCTATACAAACTGTCACTGTGTGTTGAAAAGTTGGATGCATTTGAAATAAAGCGGAAGAAGTATATCAATATGTGATATTTTCTTCATAAGATAAAAATTAGGGAATTTATTCTGTGAAAAGCCATGTTCAGAAAAGAGAATTTAATGAAAGATTTGGGGGACAAAAGTAAAAAGATTGCACAATATACACTAGGGTTAGTTGCAGGTCACCTAATGTAAATGAGACTTTAAAGATTTATGCATTTGATGTATTTTCAATTTTAATGTGAATCAGTTTTAACGTCCAATTGCAAACTTATCCAATTGAATTTGATCTAGTATTCTTAAGTGTCCAAAAATACAACTTCACAACTTGTATATTAACTTTGAACTAGTTTTGACAGAAGTGATGTTGGAAGTAAAAAGATAGTAAAGTGAAAAAACATGACTAACAAGTCAAAATAAAACGGCTTTAATCTCAATCACACATATATAAAATTCGATTCTTCTCCATGTAGTAAAGATGATGATCTCCTCCATGCATATGCTGATTTGTTTCTTCTCTATAGATTGGGGGCTACATGTGTAATTGTGAATGCGTATAATAACCACTCCAAATTTCGAAAAGGGGATTAGAAGCTGAAATCGAATGTTCGTAAGAATAATCATCGCATGTTTTAAAGGACGAACATGTCCAAAACGTTAATTGCATAAACTCCTCAATAAGACAAGCTATGGATCTTGGCGGAACACAAGGTGTAAGAATCGAAAACTCTCTGCTTGCGAGATGAGGCACAAACTCTTCTCTCTCTTTTTTTAAACAGGAGCTGTTTGTGTCTCCGCTGGTTAAATAAAGCAAAAATCACTTGCAAACTGAGTTCCAATTTCACATCAGTCTCCAATAATATCTCCTTCGAATTTTTCTTCTGTTTTCTACACTGTCATCTCCATGAACTTTGTTGACTAACACGTGTACGCTAGTAGATAGGCTGGAAGGAAAGATAGTTGGACGTGTATTTCAGTCGAACGACCACCATATGGAATTTTGTGTGTGCATTTCAGCTCACTTTTGGGTAGTAACTGAAGAAAATGATACCAGTAACTCCTGCCACTTGGAGCATTTGGACTTGGCAGAAACCTGAAGTGGTTTCACTTCAGTAGCTTTGACTAAAATTCTGTCTTTTCGTCCCTTGGCCTTTGCCGCCTTGTAAGACCTTCCTTCCGTCTTTTGTATATAATTAGGCCTTCACCAGATCTCTAGATCTTTGTACGAAACAAGTATCCAACTGTCTAATACATGGCGCCATCGTCAAGCAGAAGCATGTGGTCAGGCGATTTTTACTCCGATCGTAGTGAAAACTGGACGCTGAATTCCAGCTAGAGACGGTTGATTTCTGCTGTTTGTCATGATTTCTTCATCAAAGTTCGAATTTGGTGAATGAATCAAAAGCACTGTAAAAACAAAATCTGGAATCTACAAACCAAGATAACTTCTAATTTCAAATGGCACCAGATCTTCTCTTATGTTCACATTCTGCTTACATTCCGAGCTCCACCCGAGCATATCTGACATTCGCTCCAATGTCAGATCTTGTCCGAAGTGAATACTATAAGCAGTTTCAGGTTACCTTTCCTCATTCGCAGTAAACGTGGATATGTGGATCATACATGAACAGATAGAATCAGGTTCTCAAATAGGTAAAACACACGATGAGCAGTTTGGGAACAGAATCAGAGACTGCTGGAACAGAGAATCCACACGATTAAACGATGAAGAAAATATCCATGTCTCAGAGGTGAATTATAGGTGTCTAGTCTAGAACTGCATGAGAAGCAAGAGTGTATCAAAGAACGTTCTTTTATACACTCAGCGTCAACTAGAATTTCCACACACAATTCTGCTCATGCACATCTTAATAACAATTGTGGTACAGGAAGTCGAAGCTTTACTGGTGAAATAATAATAGATAATGTTTCGTTTAATTAGAAACAGTGGATTGGCTTAGCAAAAGCCACTAAAAGACTTGGTTATGTGGATGACCGGAGATCTCCACTATGATTTCCTTTCATTTATATCTGTTCCAAGGTCTGTTTGATATGTTACTGATATCCATGTGGCTGCTTTCATGGTGGATTAATCCAGAGGCCACGAATGGTCTACTTTACAAAATACGTGTGTTCCCGGCTCTGTATACAAGGCTAACTGGGGTTCATCATTCTCAATCATATTTTTTCGATGCTTGCAGTGAATAGTATTACGCATGAAACCCCACAGTGTTGGCACAGTGTGGGCACAGTTTATAAATGCTGTTTACTGGCGTCTTACATTATGAAGAAAATCCATACACTTGACGAAAAAAATAGTAAGGACAAGGATAGAGTAGCTCAGTCTGAGTAGGTAGAAGCATACTTACCTGGGCGGGGCCTATCGCTGATCATGAAGGGCGATGACCTAGGATGAGCCTCTCCATTGCACTAAGGATTGGCGAGTTCTAGCATTTCTCAAACGAGAAATTGCACGTCAGAATTTGTTAAGAGGAGGGCTCGCGTTCGCGCGGCCCTCCACAACGGCAACCAAAAAGAATGTGGTCGACTAATCTGACACAGTCTGGTAAACGATTCTTGGTAGCCACAGCAGACTGGCGTCGTATAGATCAGTACAAGTCGTGGTTAAAGTGACCCACAAAGTAGGGATCATGAAGCTCATCTTTGCTTTAGGAACGGGAGTTACAGGAGACTGGATGTCGACAGACTAATAGAGTCATACGAGTAGAAGCAACAGTATATTCTGTATATTCTGCAAGGGTGAGTTCAAACGCTGATTCAACCCATCCTTTTTGCACACTTTTAAACTATAAGAAACTGCCGATCGTGCAGCATCCCTTTGAATAATGCAGCACAACATTTGACTACTGTAGTTGTGCAGCTACACAAAATGTATTCAAAACTTAGACACATGCACGTACAAGGTACATGCTGGAAGATGGAGGCCACACATGGTACCTTGGAGATGAGAGCCACAGCAGCTCCCCGTAGAAGCATTTAATTGCTGTCTAATTGTGCTCATGAAGTAGTTAATAATTTCTGAGTATGCTCTTGTATTTACAAGGAGTAAGAGAGCTTGAGATATTGTGTTCACCATATAATTGAGGAGTTTCTTCTGGAGCAAGACGGTTCTGAATACTTCAAACAATCAGTAAACATTACATTTTTCCTTCAATTTATTGGGTTTCCATGGCTTTTTCTGAAAATCCCAAATCGGTATACCAAATGATCTTATGAAAATGAATGATGCTTTACATGCATGAAGAAATTCATTTTTATAGTTTTGATTGATGCAAAGATTTCAAATGTTTAACTCTTAAGCTTAAATACGATTTTATAAATAGAAATATAATACGTGCATTAGGTAAAATAAAATAAAATGCACGTAATATGATATAAGCTAGGAACATGTATCCTTAAGCATTCTTTTTGGACTCTTGGAGATTCTCTAAGGGCATGGAGAAGTCGTTCAACAAGTTTATGCCTGATGGTAACATTTTCTTCACAATCGCTTGACCTATCAATAACATTCTTGGGTATATAAATTTGGCAACAATAGTCAACAGATTTTTATGTGTATGGGGATGTAGAAGCTATTTGGATTATGGGTGAGTGATGCTAGGCTTTGTGGCCCCTATATTTTAGGAGTTTGCTCCAAATAATTGTAGAGAATCAGGAAATAGTTTTCGAAAGCAGGTTAGAAGCCTTTTTCTTACTATGGTTGAAATTCTTACTATCTGATACATATATTTCAGAAGTGCAAGCATGTTACTTAAAAAGATAAATTTGGTAGAAATTCATAATATATGAAATATTTATTTTTAATTTTTCTTTATTCCGATATCATTTTTATGGAACTGTATGTCTCCATCATAGAGTCTTCCTTTTATGAAGGGCAGAAAAATGCATAACAATTTTTGCTTACTGTTATCTACATGCATCGAGTCGTTGTAGTATAGTGGTAAGTATTCCCGCCTGTCACGCGGGTGACCCGGGTTCGATCCCCGGCAGCGGCGCTAGTCAAATTCTTGACGTTCTTTTTCATCGATCATTTTGCCAGAGCTTGTAATTAAATTGTGAGCACTGATGTGAGGATCTGCTTGCTGAAAGCAATCACAAGGGTGTATTTAGGTGCTATATGTCGGTACGTCGGGCAACGATAGATATAATTCTGATAACATTTTTTCTGTTTTTCTCACAGA